AAATCTTTACAAATTCCACTTTTTCTTTCCTTTCTTTACTTCAAATCAAACATAGCCTAAGCAAACAAAGCTTGTAGCATTTTTAGGTTTCTCTGCACAAGATGGGGTAATGTGGCCCAAATATCAGAAGCATGATTCAAAGTATCAATATGCCTTGGTACTTAGATACACACAGATTTTTTTTTTTTCAAATTTTGGTTTTTGGAGAGTTAAAAAAGGGTGGGGTCCTATAGGTGTTTTGGGACCCAAAAATACGATACGATACACCTAATACGAGACGTATCATATGTGCCAACTAATCCACAGCTTGAATTTCCTCTCCAAGTGCATGATGATAATGAATACCACCTTCCAAATGCGAGCTAATATGTCTACAATCTTCAATAATGTTTGAAATCCTCCACTTTTGTGTTTTTGATGGATGAGGAGGTGACGGCTCCAAAAATTAGAACCACAAATTAAAATAAGAGACAAAAAAATCGTTAAGGCTCCTTTGTACTGGTAATAGGATCGAAGACCAGTCCAATTTGTGTTGGACTTTGATGTCGATAGATATATTAAATCCATCGGATGTTTGATTGATTAATTACATAATAAAGGAAACCACATTTGCACTTTGAAAATTGATTTTAAAATTCCTAACAAAACTCTTTTGTTTTAATTTGTTTTATCTTCTTTCAAGTCTTGTCCTACATTGGAAAATTATTAAATTTAGCTTGAGCTTTTAAGAAGAAGCTTGTTTACACTACTTAGAATTAGATAGAAGAGAGTATAGAGACTTGCTAATGTGCACTGTATACGTATGCGATGCAATGAGGTGTTTTAGAGGCACACTTTGCTCGCACTTGTGTGAAATAATTAAAAATTTTAATGCATCGAACCATGATCGTTGACGTTTTAAGTTAATCCAACGGTCACCATGTAATACATTTCAGAACTTCTCCTCCGAATTTTGTGGCCCCAATTTCCAACGACTTGCACTTGAAAGTGACTCTTTCATGTTTCGGCGGTCCATTCATCCATGATCCACTCCATTTCAATTTTGAAATATGGTCTCACTTCGGTTTTGAGTCATGAGTTATGAGTTCTAAGATCCCACTGCATGCTTGTATTTGAATAGATTTTAATGTATTGATCTCTATTCTAACCCATTCAATATGTGTTTTGACTTTTGATATCCTCGATTAATCCTTCGTATTTGATACTGCGAGTTGTTGAAGGACAACATAGTATTAATGCAGATGCAGCACATGTTGATCGCTGAAGTTGATAATATTGAGAATGGTATAGGTCTCCTGAAGCTAATTAGTAACTACAATGATTAAGAACTTTTTTTTGTTGGATTTTAGTCTTATTAGAGATTAAATCTAGTGGGGTTTGATTGGTCAATTCTATGAAAAATACACTTGCATATATATATTTTGAAAAATAGTTTTTCTTTTATTAAAATCACTTTTTAACTTATCCCACATTGGAAAATTACAAGAATAGTTTTGGGTTTTTTAATAGGAGCTGATTTACACATTACACTCCTTAGATATAAAAATGAGAGTATGGAGGCTTGCTACTGCGCAACGCGCGTGCGTGTGTGTGTGTGTGTGTGTGGCACAATGAGGCGCTTTAGAGGCATACTTTGTTCACACTTCGCGTGGCTCGTAAAGGGCGGCTTTGGCTTTTGGTGCGAGGCTGATCAACGGTCACGATTCGATCAGGTGTGATCAAGGGGCATCATTCAAAGTTAACAGTCACTAACTGTTAAATACCTTTTAGCAAAAAATTGTGATTGTTCAATGAGTCTTTTCTGAACCAGCACCTTCCTCTGCTCCATGATTCTTCAGAATTTATTTAAGGAGCATGAACCAAGCATTTGCATACAAATTTCGAAAATCACTTTCTTTCTCTCTCTCTCAATCCGATCTATTATTGTCTCATAAAATGTTTCTTCGGAGACTTTTCAACTTTGCTGATTGCAGATTCTCGCCTAAGGCTCTGTTGTATCCTGGTAACGGATTTGCCTATAACCTAATAGCGAACTCAGTGGAACTGAGTGGGGGCAAATAACATTCTAAAGATAATGTCTTCAGACATGCCTCAGAACTTCTCCTCCAAGTTAGGAATGGCAACGGGGCGGGGGTCATATTCCCCGTCCTCGACCCTGATTATGAAATTAACCCCCGTCCCCATCCTTAATCCCTGTCGGGGATAAAATTTGTCCTCCATCCCCGATCCCTGATGGGGATGGGTTCCCCACGGGGACTTGAATCCCCAATTTTTTTTTAAATAACAACATTTATTTGAAAAATAAATTTACTTAAAATAAATAAAAAATTTAAATTATAAATAAATTTTTAAATATGTGATATATATATATATATATAATATAAATAATATATATAATATAATATAAATAATATAATAATATACATACATAATCGGGGGTGGGGACCTCAATCCCCATCCCCAACCTCGACCCTGATTGGGGATTCCTATTAATTCCCCTCCCTGTCCCCGCCCCGCTAAAACAATCCCCATGGGGTCGGGGAAATCGGGTCCCCATCAGAGATAGAGAAAATTGCCATCCCTACTCCAAATTTTAGTGACCCCATTTACCAACACTTTTAAATAGATAAAGTGTTTGGGAGAGTTATTTAGAACAACCATTTGATATAAAAAAATCAGTAAGTTAGAAAAGAGCCCTACGTCTAAAGCATATATTTCTGAGTAGAATGCTCCAATGACCGAAAAGTTGCTTGGATTCAACGCCCTAAGGGCGGTTTCACTGGAAGGAAGAAATTCATTAAAAGATGTACGAAAGTTCATAGATAACAGAAAAAGAATTTCTTCCTGAAAGAAAAAAAAAAATTAAAAACAAACATGAGTTTGTGGTCTTTTTATTTTTAAGTTTTAACCATTAAATTAACTTTGGATGAAAACAAGCGTGGATGGGTATTTAATTAACTGTATTTAATGGGTTTGTGGTATATTTTAATAGGTCCCACCATTTAAAAATAGATGTGATATAGGTATTTAATTAACTATGAAAAAAACATAAAGTTAAAGAGCTGTCTTTGAGAATGTTTGGAAGTGAAATTACTCACTTCTTAAATATTATTTCATTAAAAAATGGCGTTTCAGCCATTTCTTTGATGGATAGAAATTATAGTCGAAGCAGTGCTTTTAAAATTAGATCAGATCGGATGATTAGACCAGAAAAACTGGAAACCAATCATCTGATTGATTCTGTTTCATTTTAAAATCGTTTTTTGGTCAAAAACTATTAATTTGATCAATAAACAGTTAACCCAGGCGGTCAAACTATTAAAGTATCGATAAAGACAATAATTTTTGACTGTTTTTTATTTTTTTATTAGAGCAAATCATTCATTCGAACTGGATGATCAGACCCTTCAACCCGGGAACCGGACCAAAACAGTTACCTGTCCGGTCCGATTTTAAAAACCTTCCGTCAAAGAGGTTCTGAATAATAATAATCCATATTTCTATGGCATTACTCAGCTCTAATTTCCTAATCATCATATCTAGACATGTTCTATTTGACCATTCTATAAATCCTTAATTTTCAAGTCGAAGCATCTAGAATCCAGAGTCTAATTCTTATCTTTTCACTCAAACAACAATAACATAAGCACTACCTAAACTCTTGTAGAAGTCAAAAAAAAAAAAAAGAAAAAAAAAACAGGAAAAACCCTAAACTATTGTCATCTTGATTGACTTTTGGGTTTTGGCCCATACAGACCCGAATCTCTCACTCATTGGTGAGGCCCGAAGTGGATGGTTAATCGGGCTCAACTTACAACCCGTGAAGCCCCAGGTCCAGCCCATTTCATTAGCTCCCTCAATTACGCCATGTGTGTAGGCACAGCTAATGGGCATGCTAGGTGTTATTCTCCCATGTTTTTTTGTCCTTTTATTCCATTTCCTTCAATGTCTAATCTAGCTTACCTGTACCGATCATTTGCACCACTTTTAGTTTGTTTGACTCCGGATCCATACAGACTCTGCCTACGTTTATTCACAATACATTACCTCCGTGAATTAGGAACATCTCCCCTTGAAATGTTTTTTATGTATGGCTGCGATATTATGTGAGGAGACGTGGGCAGAGTTTGTGTGAATAAGAGATCTAGACTCAGTTTGTAACGTTGGTCGAGAGAATCGTGGGTCGGCACTACTCGCTTTTGGGCCCCAAACATCCCCTACCAACGGCAACTGCCAGTTCGTTTTATTCCTTTCTTCGTTCCTCGGGGACCATCCAAACTGAACCCACCTAACCTAACGCCGTTAATATTCCGTCAACGATACCACCAACCCTCCCGACCGCAGGCGCAGTTTTCTAATCCCTTCTTGATAACTTGACGGCGACAAAGACGGCAGCGGTTCTAGGTCAAGAAAGCTGACGTGTGCAAGCTCCTGTAATCAGTGGTTGTGATTGATCTAGGATTACGATCTGAATGGATTTAAGTCTCACTTTCACATTTTAGGTAAAATCCTAGCCGTCGAATTTGGGGACTTCCAAGGTGAAACAGTTCACGAAGTACGCTATCGGAGTGGCAAAGCTGCGAAGCGTGGTGAACAAATTTCGAACGTTACCTTGGTTGCCACTTGCAAGTAACGACAAAGCTGCGTAATTAATTTAATTAATAAATTTAAAATTTGGATGTTTTTGAAAATTTTCTGGAAGGAATACAAAGACGAGATGAGACGAGACACTCAAAAAACATTAGCTTTTTCTTTACTGCAAGATAGTGGGACCCACAAACAGAGGAACAAGTGGGGGCCACAGGAAGCAGAGAGAACAGGGAGAGCCGCTCTTACGTGCCGATGCAGTGAACGGGGAGTGCGACCGGCAGCGGTGACGACTGACGACACCGCTGAAACGGCAATGGTTAGAGCCCAGAGGCGTGGGTCCCGCCAGGAGGATTAGTACGAGCTGGCTGACAGACTGGTCCCTTCCATATACAACGCAAATTTGCAACGTCTCCCCAAAACCCTTCGTTTTTAAGCCCCTCTCTTTTCCCTTCTCTGACCCCAACATCACATTTCACAAACCTCCCTCTTTCCTCTCTTTCCTCTCTTTCCACTCTGATCGGTCGCTCGCTCGCTCGCTCGCTCTACAAGTATTTGGTGGTGATGGCTGAAGTAGCTGAAACGAAGGCACACGCTGAGGAGGTGGTGGCGGAGAAGACGACAATAGAGAAGGAGGCACCGCCGGCGCCGGAAGTATCGGAGGCGGTGAAGACTGCGGCGGTGGTTGAAGAGGTTGTCGAGGCCGAGAAAGCGAAACCTGCTGAGGAGGTGACGGTTACTGAATCGGTTTCGTTCAAGGAGGAGAGCAACGTGGTTGCCGATCTTCCCGAGAATGAAAAGAAAGCTCTGGAGGAGTTCAAGCAACTCATCCAGCAAGCCCTCGAGAAGCACGAGTTTACTTCTCCGCCTCCCCCGCCGGCGCCAGTGAAGGAAGAAGAAAAGAAGGAAGAGGAAAAGAAGGAAGAAACTAAAGACGAAGAGAAGCCGGCGGAAGAGAAGGTTGTTTGTGCTGAGGAGGTAGCTCCGGCGGATCCAGCAGAAGAGAAACCGGCTGAAACTACTGAACCGCCGAAGGTGGAAACGGAACCGGAACCAACAAAGGAGGCAAAAGCGGACGAGAAGACTGAAACTGTGTTGGTTGTTGAGGTGGTCGAGACAGTCACGGCTACCGTCGATGATGATGGCGCTAAGACTGTTGAAGCCATCAAAGAGACCGTCGTGGCGATCTCCTCTTCTTCTGCTCCGGAGGAGCCAGCGGAAGCCGAAAAAGCAGCCGAAGAAGCCCCTGCTGCCCCGGCTGAACCAGAGAAGGAAGAGGAAGAAGTTGCTGCCGCGCCACTTCCACCACCTGAGGAAGTCTCCATCTGGGGGATTCCGCTGCTCAAGGACGAGAGGAGCGATGTGATCCTTCTGAAATTCTTGCGAGCTCGAGATTTCAAGGTCAAGGACGCCTTCACCATGATCAAGAACGCGGTTCGTTGGAGGGAGGAGTTCGGCATCGAAGCCCTCCTGGAAGAAGACCTGGGTAACGATTTCGACAAGGCGGTTTTCATGCACGGAGTCGGCAAGGATGATCACCCAGTCTGCTACAACGTCTACCAGAAGACCTTCTCCGAAGAGGAGAAGCGCAAAAATTTCCTCCGATGGAGGATTCAGTTCCTTGAGAAGAGCATCAGAAAGCTTGATTTCAGTCCCAACGGCATCAACACCATCATTCAAGTTAACGACCTCAAGAACTTGGTCGTGCCCGGACTTCTGGAACTCCGTCACGCCCTCTACCTGCTCCAGGATAACTACCCAGAGTTCCTCGCCAAACAGGTTAATCCTTGTTCTTCTTCTATTCTCTGTCTGTTGATGATGATAATACATGATAAGAGCTCGATTTAGTTGGTTTTGATCATTTTTTTCTGATGGTTTTGATCATTTTTTTCTGATGGTTTTGATTTGGGGATGTTTTAGATTCTGATCAACGTTCCATGGTGGTACCTTGCAATCAATCGGATGATTAGTCCTTTCCTCACCCAGAGGACCAGGAGCAAGTTCGTATATGCTGGGCCATCGAAATCTACTGAGACTCTCTTCAAGTTAGTCAAGTTTCTGTTTTTATTTCCTCGTTGAATTGGGTTTTCTGTGTACATGTTTATGGTCTTTTCTGATGGAATCTGTTAGTGGGATTGGCTTGGATTGACTTGGCTTATGTGTTTGATTGTTCTTTAGATATATAGCTCCTGAGTATGTACCAGTTCAGTATGGAGGCTTGAGCAGGGAGGGTGAAGGTGAGTTTACCACCGCTGATACCGCTAGCGAGATTACCATCAAATCGGCAACTAAGCAAACTGTGGAATTCCCTGTTTCTGAGGTGAGCTGGATCTTTTTCAATCTTTACTAATGAAACTCTCTGTGTTTGAGTAGTTTGATTTTTGAATCCTTTATGTTAATTGAGATTATTGATTTGCAGGCATCCCACCTGGTCTGGGAGGTTAGAGTTGTTGGGTGGGATGTTTCCTATGGCGCTGAGTTTGTACCAAGCGCCGAAGATGGATACACTGTGATCGTTCAGAAGTCGAGGAAGGTTGCTGCTTCCGAAGAACCAGTTATCTGTAACAGCTTCAAAATTGGTGAACCAGGCAAGATCGTTCTCACCATTGACAACCAAAGCTCTAAGAAGAAGAAATTGCTATACAGGTCCAAGACCAAGCCGTCCTCAGATTAAATTGTCTCCACAATTAGACGGTTCTACTATGCAATCAATTAAATGAACTCAAAAGGCAACAACACAAGGAAAAGAACAGTGGAAAAGCCCAAGATACTTGTTTTATCAACATCAATTTACAGTGATTAAAGGTCTGGGTTGGGTTGTTTTTGTTCAGAAATGATACAGTTTCTTTCTTTTATTTTTGGTCCTATTTAATTTAAGATTAAATTTTTTTTTCGGATTTTTTTGTTTTTTTTATGATAAGTGGATTTGGTCTTGGTTTGTGTGACTCAATCATTAGGTGTGGGGAAAGAAAGAGCTCTATTACTTATGTGACTATAAAATTTCTGTGTACATTATGGTCTAAATGAATCTCTGTTTTGTTCTTTATTTTTTTTGACTTATTGAATTTATTATTAAAAGCTTGTGTTATTTTTTTTATATATGCATTATTCATAAACCCATGAACGTGTACTTTCTTATTTTTCATTTGAATTCAAGAATAAATTCGACTACAGAACTACTCCATAACCGTAAAGAAAGGAAATCTGCTGCTATCATTGGACATGATTTTCCGTGGCTGCCTTCATTTGCTTTAACGTTCTTCATAATCATTTGGTCTTCCACCTTCAACCAAAATTATTGTTGGTAATACAAAAATCTTTTGAAGCTTTTAAATACCTAGGCTGCATTTGGTTGACTTATCTCCTTTTCACAGTTAAAAACTCGGTGTTCAAAGGAGGTAATACCTCCTTAAAATAAGGAATGCCAAATACAGCCCTAGTTGGCTTGCCAACTGAACTCAGAGAAGACTGGGTTTGCCTGTGGGGAATGCCTAGTTGGCTTGGATATGGTGGGTTGATTGAGTTGGCTTATAAGGAATGTTTATTTGGAATTGTGTTGGACGGGGGCATGGCGGGTTAATAGGTTTATTGAGCAACTGCCTCTGCCCGGCTTAAATTAGTGGTGTTAACAACATGGTTGGTTTTGTTTTTGACAACTGCTTCAACTTCCCCTGAATTTTGATCTCTCAAGAGACTTTCGCTATACATTAGAGAAATATTCTCTCAAAAGACTATGCATTAGAGAAATATCTTTGAATAAAACCTCTTTCTCTTCTCTGTCATCAAGTTGATTAATTTTGTTCTTGCATTGATATCATTATGTCTTCTCTAACTGGAAATGTAAGGGTAGCTTTGTGATTTTACACCCTTTTCTCTACCTAAATTAACTAAGGCTGTGCTTGTTTTGAAGGAAAAAATAGGAAAAGGAAGGGAAATGTAGAAAAACTTTTACAAACCCTTCTATATATTTTCCTTCCTTTCCCTACCTTTTCCGAGATGTCAAAGTTGAAGGGAGGTTAATGTACTTATCGAACACAATGGTTGTGTAGTGGGCTCTATAACCAATAAGCGCATATGGCTCACAACAACTCAATCTCATTAGCAATTATGGTGTAGGCCGTGCTGTATGCCTTACGGATTATTACGGGCTGTTGCCTTTTCCGGTGAAAATTTTGGGGTCGGCTTGGCATGGTCTATGGCCCGTGCTGTGTCGTGCTATGCCGCGGGCTGGCTTGGCACGTGGGCCGAGTTTTGTGTTAGGTCAGGCCGTACATTGGGTTAAAATTATTTATTTAAAAAAATTGACAAAAAACTTAAAATTTTAATTTTATATGAATTTTGTGTATACAATTGCTTATATATACAATAATTAAATAAATTAATATAATAAAATTAAAAAAAATATTTATTTTATTAATATATTATATACTATATATTATTATATAATTATATATATATATATATATATATATATTATTGGGCCGGGTTGTAGGCGACACGGCCCGCTCGGTCATGCCATGTTGTGCCGGTCCATGGACCTAAAACCCCAAGCCCAACATGGCCCACATAATCGTGCCAGGTCTGACATGGCTTGCAGGTCGTCGTGTTGGGCCGATCCAAGTTCATATCGGGTCATAGGCGGTACAACCCGATTTACATCTTTAAGAGGGGGTGAATTGGAAAACCTCGTTCAAATCTTAGAAATATTTAAGCCATCTTGAATGGTTGGAAATAAATGTAGCGGAATGAAGGCTTAGTGTGTGCACTTCATGCCTCGACAATCAGAAACAGTCAATCATACATTTTAGGGTAATCGACTATATTCAATGTTACATTTTAGGGTAATCGACTATATTCAATGTGGCATTTTATGCCTTGGCTATAAGAACGCATAGTAGATTAGTAATAGACACAAGTAATTATAGTAAATAGGTATAAGTAACAATATATTACAGCTATCAAAAGCAAGTGAATAAGGTAGCAAAGTAATAGCTGCAAAGTGCAAACATATTCTTTGTGCAAATGTAATGTAGTTAGTAGAATGCAAGGAAAATAACTTCAAAAACATCAGAGCAAAACTGAAGTAAAGTGCAAAGGAGGAAAATACAATGCAAATAGATTTTTATAGAACTTCTACAGAAACCCCTGCTTACGTCTTTTATCTTAGACACCTATCAAGATTTTCACTAAATTCACGGGCACCATCAAAGCCTTACAACCAACAAGATTCCGGGTGCTTGCAATACCTGAGTAGTTGGACTTTTGGGTGCCAAAAAAAGGCCTAATTAGAAGAGTACGGGTGTCTACCAAACCTTGATTGGACTTCTAAGTGCTAATCGAATCTTGAATATTGTTCTCACTCTTGAACACCTCATTCTTCATTGGATATTATATTGTAATATCATATACGTAGATATATCTCTCAATAAGCTGATGAAACAAATATAGCTCAAAACTAACCCAAGTGCGAGATAATACTTTGAAGAACCATAGCTTGAGTAGGGCAAACCTTTCTCAAAAGCTCTAGGGTTTTCATCTTTTAACCCGGGGAAACATAGAAAATCAATATTGTTGATGACACACAAATCTCACTCTTCTTTCTCTTCTTACATATCTTTGTAAGTCAAGGAATATAACCAATTGTTATCATTATTTGGACGTGATAGCTCATTAATCCTCTATTGGTACTGATGAAGATTTGGCCCGAACTCGTAACCACTCAACACGTGGCAAAGGCAACAGCTCGGCACAACAGCACGCCCAAGGCGCGAGCTCCGAAAGGAGAAACCAGCGGTCCGAACTCCCCACAAGGAGCCCGAGCTCTCCCTTAGGCCCCGAGCCTTACGAACACAAAGGGCAACAACCCGAACTGGCCTGCCCCATGGCAGTTCGGGCCACACTTCCATCCGAGCTCAAGACTTCACCTCGCACACCACTCCAATACTTCGCCTCTAGGATGCCGAACTGAACAACCGTACCTGACACCAAAGAAGTCCGTATCCTGAGGCGGCGCACATGACTGACTTGGGATCTGACGCTTGATGGCCGCAACTTCAACGGCCACCTGCCACCGCCACCTGCCACCGCCATCTCCAGTTACAGAGACGGCTCCGACAAAGAGAGCAATGGCGGTTCTGCCCCAGCAGAGGTGATGACACCCGAACTGGCAGAAGCGCAGGGGTAATCATACCCGACCTGACAGAAGCTTAGGAGTGAGTGTGCAAAGTGGTTATAAAAGGCTCCCTTCCCCCCAAGAAGAAGGTATGTGAACTTTGCGCCATCTGGTTTATTATCTTGCCTTTGAGGATACTAACTTGAGCTTCAGAGCACTCTCACTGGGTCCCTCCCTGGAGATACTCGCTTTCTTCCCCGTTTCAGGCACCTTCTGCTCCAACCAGAGGTAAGATCGTTGACAGCTAGGACCGGCCAGATTGCACACAATCAATTGGCGCTGTCTGTGGGAAACGCTTCTAAAAGCTTCCCTCTAAAACTCTCATAACCCCTTTTCTCTAGAAAACCCCAACACTCATGGCTTCTTCCAACAATGCCGGACGTAGCACAGAGATGAACGCCACCGGGGAGCAACTTCAAGTCCCCGTGGTGTGCATCGGACAGTTCACCATCCCCCTTCCGGTGGATGGGACCCCCAGCCTGAGTGCACCACGAGCAGTGGCGCCAGTGAACCTTCCCGCCGTGAACGTCCCCTTTCCTCTCCCTGTCGAGACAACCTTTACCGAACCAACTGTTGTCCCCCTGGCGACAAGCCAGGGCCAGTTTGACGACATGATGCAGTGCATGCGGGCAATGCAAGCCCAAATGCAGCAGTTCCGGCAGCATTAGCTCCAGCAGCACCAAGTACTGCACCACCTCTCTCAATATCACTATCAGCAGTAGTTCCCCCAACTGCCTCTGAACCAACTGCAACTTCCACCTCGACACCCTGCTTCAAGGCCGGTTAAGGCCCCTCTCAGGGTGGACGCCATCACCGAGGAGAAGCCTCCCAACTTCAGAACCCCCCTAATAGCCAGGCCTCATCCCCGGGCCGGAGGGAAAGAAAAATCACCCCCACCTCGCAGCTCGCAGGCGGGTCGGGAACCTCGCCCTCCAAGTCAGCACCTCAACGCTCCAAGCCTGAGCTCCCGCTCACAGAGAACCGATTCAGCGTCCTAGCAGTGGACTACCAACATTTCGGGCCCATCGAGCTCGGCAACACGGAGGCCAGCAGCGCCAATACCAGGCCCACTCAGCAACGAAGACGCCGGCGAAGTCGCCGAACTGCCACCCGTGTCCTGCCCGAGCTCAGAGGTAAAGAAGAGACAAGTTCGGACGAGGTAAAAGCTGCCCCTATTCTCTCAGTTCCTTTCCCCCTCTCATCAGAACTCCTTGCAGTCCCCATGCATAGAGACTTCAAACTCCCCCCTTTAGACAAGTATGATGGGTCCTTCGACCCCAACGACCATGTCAATGCCTTCCAGTCCCAAATGCACCTGGCAAGGGCCAGTGAATCGTGCATGTGCGTGGCCTTCACCACCACCTTCAGGGGGGTGGCCCGCACCTGGTACAGAAATCTGGCCCCGAGGTCGATAAGAAGCTGGACCCAGTTCATGCAGGTCTTCACCGCACACTTTGTTACCAGCAAGCGGTGCCCCAGAACCGAGGAAAGCATCTTTGGAGTAGTCCAGAGGGAAGGGGAGTCCATCCGGGGCTAAATCAAGTGGTTCAATGACATGTGCTTGCAGATACCGCGACTGGACCCCGCGGTACAGCTCGCGACGGCCAAGAGAGGAGTAACACACAAGGAGTTCAAATGGCACATGGTAGCTAGCGAGCCCGCGGCCGTGGCCGAATTCCTCAAGTTCGCAGATAAGTTCATGAGAACAGAGGAAGAGATCAACCAAAGGACTGAAGGCGGGATCGAGAAGAGGAAAAGAGAAGGCGAGCCCTCCAACCCAAATGATAGAAGAAAAAACCCAGCCCGGGAGGCGAAGCCGAGAAAGCCGTTTCGAGCTCCCTTAGCAGCTCGGACAGATTACACACCCTTAAACG